GGAGGAGGGAGAGAGAGAGGAGGCAGGGGGGCGCAGGAAGAGGGCTTTCGACGCTTTTCTGGAGCACCGCAGCATGTCTTGCCCAGTGCGGAGGGGAGATGAGATCGGCGCCTTCTCAGTGCGGAGGGAAGAGGGTATCGCCGCCCGCACCGCCGCCCTCGAGGGGGTGGGAATGGGGGCACAGGGATGGGGGGAAGGGAGGGAGGGGAGGGGGGGGGCGGGAATTTCTAAGGTTTTCGGGGGGGGGGCCGGCCCCGCCCTGCTCGAAAGGACGTGGGGACGACGACGACTACGATGACGAAGACAAGGACGACGACGACGACGACGACGACGGACGACCGACGACCGATGACCGACGACCGACGACCGACGACGACGATGACGACAACGACGACGACGACGGACGATTGACGTCGGACGAGGGACGACGGGCGACGGACGACCCACGGCGGAGGACGGATGACGGACGACCTACGACGGTCGACCGACGACCGACGACCGACGACGAGGAGGACGACCCGCTGCCAGGGCGTGGATGCCGCGCGGGGCAAGGCGTGCGACATGCTGTTGGAGAAACGCGTGGGGCAGAAGCTGAAGCAGGGCAAGGCGGCAGGGGGGCCCTTCGGTGGCCCTCGGCGGTCGCCAGCGGCCACCACTCGGGCGGCGGCGGCCGCACCGCGTCGTGGTCGTCGCGGGTGCATTCGGAGGGCTGCCGAGGTTCTCGGAAGTCCTCGGATGTCCTCGGAGATCCTCGGAGTTGGCAGTAGTGTTGGAGGTTTCTCGGAGGTTTTCGTCGGGCCCCTGGGTGTCTTCAAGCGACTGCGCCTCGTCGAGGGGCTTCTGGAGCCGCCAGAAACGCCCCAAGCAGGCGTCTGGGGCCCGAGTTGCGGCCCAACATCTCCAGTGCCGTCGTCGTCATCGTCGTCGCCGCCGCCGTCGCCGCCGCCGCCGTCGTCGTCGTCGTCGTCGTCGTCGTCGTCGTTTTCGTCGTCGTCGTCGTCGAGGTCGTGGTAGTGGTCGTGGTCATCGTCGTCGTCATCGTCGTCATCATCATCGTCGTCTCCAGCGTTGTCGTCGTCCCTCCTCCTTTTCTCTCCTTCCGCGCTCTCCCCGGGCCCTCGTCCTCCTGCTCCTCGTCCGCGCTCATGGCCTCCGATGCTGCCGCAGCTCCTCATGCTCCTCGTCCTACTTCCCGTGGCAGTGTAGCCCTCGGAAAGGTCTTGTACCTTCTCGCGTGTCCTCCCCAATCGACTCCGACTGCATTGACTCCTCCTTTACCTTCACACGTGCACTTCTCCCCTCCCCTCCTTCGGCCCTCCTTGTCCTCCCACGTTGTTTTTGCCTTTTTTCCATCCTTGCCGTCGGTGGCGCTGACGTCTTCGGCTCGCTTCTGGTCTTCTCTTATCTTCGGCCCTCCTTTTCCCCTGGCTTGTCCGCCGCCTCCTCCCCCAGAGTTTTCCCCCTTGTCTCGTCCTCAGCATTCGGTCTTCTGCCCCCTCTCCCTCCTCCTTCTTTTCCTCCTGCTCCTCCTCCTCCTCCTCGTCTGCCTCTCTCCTCCTCCTCCTCCTCCCTCCTTTCCTCCTCCTCCTCCTCCTCCTCCTCCTCTTCCTCCTCTGCCTCCCTCCTCCTCGTCCTCCTCCTCCTCCTCCTCCTCCCCTTCCCTCTCCTCTGCCTCCCTCTTCGTCCCTGTCTTCCCCCCCCGCTCTCCTTTGCCTCCTCGACCTTCTCTTCCTCCTCCTCCTCCTCCTCCTCCTCCTCCTCCTCCTCTGCCCCTCCTCCTCCTCCTCTTGCTCCTCCTCCTCTTTCTCCTCCTCCTCCTCCTCCTCCTCCTCCTCCTCCCTCTGTCCCCCTCTTCCCCACTTCTCCGTTGCCTTCAAGATCTTCCCTTCAATCTGGGCCTCGCTCCCCTCCTCCTCACCTCCTCCTTCTCGGTGTGTGCGTCCTGCCTCTCTTCCTCGTCCGTGTTCTCCTCCTCCCAAGCCTCTCTCCCCTCGTCCTTTTCCTTCCTTGATAGGGCCTGCGTGGTCGCATCGTTCTCGTGGCCGAGCCCGCCCTGGGATATGAAGGAGGGAGGGGGCATGGAGGTCGATGCGGAGGCGGCTGAGGATGAGGAGAAAGAGGATGAGGATGAGGATGAGGGGGTGGGAGGTGGGAAAAGGAAACCAACTGATGATGGTGATGCTGGTGGTGTTGGTGATTCTGCTGCTGCTGATGATGAGGATGCCGATGATGATTCTGCTGATCGTGATTAGGATGATGCTGATGTTGTTGTTGATGATGCTGATGATTATGACTATGGAAGGTGCTAATGATGATAATGATAATGCTGCTCATGATGCTTCTGCTGATGATGAAGATGAGGACGAGGAGGAGCAGGCTGATGATGGGGAGCAGGAGGGCGAGCAGGAGGGCCACTCGCATACTCCGCAGGCAGACACCCTGAGAAACCGCCTGCACATCACCGGCACCGCGGCGCCCGCGGCCCTACTCTCCCCGCGGGACTGGGGGAGAGGCGTCAGAAGGTTGCAGGAGGAGGAGGAGGACGAGGACGAGGGCGAGGATGAGATGCTGATGATTATGATGATGATGACGATGACGATGACAGCGATGATGATGCTGATGGTGATGCTGATGCTGATGATGATGGTGATGATGTGGATTCTGATGATGATGGTGATGATGTTGATGCGGATGCTGATGAAGATGACGATGACGATGCTGATGATGCTGATGATCGTGATGCTGTTGATGATGATGACGATGATGATGCTGATGATGATGCTGATGATTGTGATGCCACTGATGCCGATGATGCGGATGATGATGACGATGATGGTGATGATGAAGAAGATGATGATGGCGATGATGACGATGCTTATGATGATGCTGATGCTGATGGAGATGATGATGACGATGATGATGCTGATGATGCTGATGATGAGGATGATGATGATGCTGATGATGATGATGATGATGATGATGATGATGTTGCTGCTGATGACGATGATGCTGATGATGATGACGATGATGATTATGATGTTGTTGTTGATGGTGATGATGAAGACGCTGACGATGACGATGATGACGAGGATGATGCTGATGCTGCTGCTGATGATGATGATGATGGTGGTGATGATGATGAAGATGATGATGGCGATTATGACGATGCTTATGATGATGCTGATGATGATGATGGAGATGATAATGATGATGATGATGATGATGATGATGATGATGATGATGATGATGATGATGCTGATGCTGATGCTGATGATGCTGATGATGATGATGATGAGGATGCTGATGATGATGTTGCTGCTGATGACGATGATGCTGATGATGACGATGACGATGACGATGATGATGATGATGATGATGATGATGATGATGATGATGATGATGATGATGATGATGATGATGATGATGATGATGATGATGATGATGATGTGATGATGTGATGTTGTTGTTGTTGTTGGTGATAATGATGACGATGCGATGACGATGATGACGATGCTGATGCTGATGCTGATGCTGCTTGCTGATGAGATGATGATGATGATGATGATGATTGATTGATGATGATGATGATTGACGATGATGATGATTGATGATTGTGATGATGATGATGATGATGGTGATGATGATGATGATGATGATGATGATGAGATGATGATGATGATGATTATGATGATGATGTGATGATGATGATGTGATGTGATGATGATGATGATGATGATGATGATGATGATGTGATGATGATGATGATGATGATGATGATGATGATGCTGGTGGGTGGTGGTGGTGGTGGTTGTGATTCGGCGGAGGAGGAGGAGGAGGAGGAGGAGGAGGAGGAGGAGGAGGAGGAGAAGGAGGAGGAGGAGAAGGAGGAGGAGGAGGAGGAGGAGGAGGAGGAGGAGGAGGAAGAGGAGGAGGAGGAGGGGGTGGACCAGGTGGATCAGAAAATGGAGCATCGCAACGGGGAGCGGTGCCGGACTCCGCGGGCACCGTCAGCTGAGGCCCATGCGTTGGCCGAACCACGGCACGCACAGAACCTCGCTGTGGCAGCGACCACTGCAAACTGATTCGCCCGACGGTGGCCACACCACGGCCCGCGCCAGGCAGGGGCAGCATACAGCTGCGAAGTGTGAGCACAGAGCCCCGAAACTCAGACGAGGAAGTCCTTGAACCCGGCCCTCGCCGCGCCACTCCGCCAGAAGCGCCTCGACCACCGGGCCATGAAGCTCCTCCGAGACGCTTGCAAGCGCCTTCTGCACGACGGCCTCGATGGCCATCACCGCCTCCGACGGGGCCCCGCCTACGAGGCCCACCGTGAGCGACTGGACGAGGACGCTCTGGACGCCGCCGCTGTATTCCTTCACACCAGTAGCGCTGCGACCAGCACCAGTGGGCCCATATTGCTGTACCTCGCTGCCACCAGCAGCCGATACCTTCTTGGCCCCAGAAGTGCCGGTACCAGCAGCCTTCTTGCTGCCTCCAGCAGCCGATGCTCCCTTGGTGCCAGAAGCGCTGGCACCAGCAGCCTTCTCGCCCCGGCTCCTGCTGCCGCCAGCAGCCTTCTTGCCTCCACCCCTTGCTTCGGACCTCTGCTCCTGGCCCTGAGGGTCTACCATTCAGTCGGGCACGTCCCTCTACAGGAGTAGTAGTAAAACATAGTTAAGAATAGCCAGGGAACGATCTTTTGAAGATTTGGTGTTTTTTTTGGGGGATCATCTTTTGGAGTATTTTCTATTTTTCGCCCAAAACCCGCCTGTAGGGGGACATGCCCGATCGAAGACTACCACCACGGTGCATCTCTATGCCCTGCACATGGATCCCAAGAAGTGGCGGTCTGGCAGGGTCACCAGCCCGCCTGTGTGCGTTGAGAAGGCCTCCAAGGCACGCGACCGTCGGTTCCTCCTGGAACCCGACCCCGCGCGTTCGGCCCGGGGCGCCGTCGGATAACCACTCTGGACGGCCTTCTCCTTCGCGTATTCCCGTTTCTTCTTCCGGCAGGCGTTCCAGCCCCGCGGGTCCCTGGGGATCGAGGCAGATTGCGAGCGCTCGGTCCCCCTCGACCGCGTCCTCGAGGCGCTCTTCGTGTGCTTCTTCTCTTTCTCGTTCTCCCAGTGCTTGAAAGACTCCGCCGACGAGAGGGTCTCCAGCCGATTCGCCATCGTCTCCTTCAGCTGCAGGGGTCTTCTTCACCCTCGGCTTGAAAGACTGACTGCTCCGACTCCTGCTGCGCAGCCTTCGCCTCCTTCGGCTTCAGTTGCATGGGCTGGTAGGACTCCGACGGCGACCTTGCCTCCCGCCGCGTCACCGTCTTCTCCTTCCGCTTCTTATTCCACTCCTTTGGCATCTCCACCTTCTCCAAGCGCTTGCTCTTCACCTCCTGTGGCTTCTTCTTCTTCTTCTTCCCCGTCTCCTCGCTGTCGGCAGATCCGACTCCAGCCGCGGCTCCCTCTCCTTCCGCTTCTTCACCCTCGTCTCCTCCGGCTCCTTGGAGGCGCCATCCTGCGCTGGCTGCGGCGCCGCATGCCCCTCCAGCTTCACCCATGAGTCCCTCGGCTTGAAGGGCGATGGCGGCAACTCCGTCTCCACCCGCGTCCCCTTCTTCGCCTGCAGGCCCTGGTCCAGATGCTCGGGCCGCGCCCCTCAATGCGCGGGCCGCGCCCCCCTCTCCAGCCGGGTGGAGGCCGAGCACTGAGGTGGCCACCACCACCCCGGCAGCGCCTCCAACGGCGCAGCCTTTGGGTGGAGGCCCGTTGTCGTCGCCGATGAAACGCTCCTCTGGGCCTCCTCCATCAGCGCCCGCTTCTGCGCGCCGAGATCGAAGCGCTCCTCCTGCAGCATCCGCCTCTCCTCCACGAGCACGCTGCGCCGCTGGCAGAGCTTGCTCATCTGCTCCTGCACGCCCCGCTCCGCCATCAAAGAGCTCCACGACAAGCTCAGCGCCTGGTCCTAGAACTTCCTGCACGCCGATCTTCAGAGCGTGAATTACCTACCCCGCTTTCGCTTCCAGGCAAAACCAAGCCATACCACGCGCCTCCTCGTCAAGCGGCCTGACCAGTACAGGCTGCAATTTGGCATCGTTTGGTATCTCTTGGAAGCGAGGGTGGTCAAAAGCGAGGTAGGTTTGTTTTCCCCCTAGATCTCCAGCGCTCCGAGCTTCGCCCCGATCCCACGGTAGACCAGCTCCAAGGGAACCGGCAGTCTCATGCCGTGCCGATCGGACGGGCTGCGCCCCTTCGAAGTGCGCCCGCGAGGAGGAGGAAGAGGAGGAGGAGGAGGAGGAGGAGGAGGAGGAGGAGGAGGAGGAGGAGGAGGAGGAGGAGGAGGAGGAGGAGGAGGAGGAGGAGGAGGAGGAGGAGTAGGAGCAGGACCAGGAGCAGGAACAGGAGGAGGAGCAGGAGGAGGAGGGAGGAGGAGGTGTAGGGTGATATGGGTCGATGAGGAGGGATGGGGTCGGAGGGAGGAGGCAACGATAGAGGAGGAGGGAAGAGGGAGGGAGGGAGGGATTCGGATTTCGACGCTGTTTTAGCAATGGGCCTGTGAGCAGAGGCTGGCACGCAGCTCGCATAGTATCAGTGAGATAACAATTCTGCTGGGGCACCTGGGCCACGTAACGCAGGCAGACAATACCAGCTGGGCAGTAAAGTGAACTGCCTTTTAAGGCAGCCGACCTTTGCGGTCGTTCGTTGTGCATGGGTGGGATTTTTTTTCCTTCACTCCGGCACGGCGAGAACGAGGCGAGTGTGGAAACAGGGCGGCTATCAGTGCGCTTCGAGAGATGGCGGGAAGGATCACCGCTGCTCTCGGGTGTTTGTCCAGGGGGGTAGCAGCACACAGGCTGAGATAAACAAACTTGCATGTATCAATGCACATCTACCAGCATCGTACAGGATGCCAAAATGGTGCACCTGCCAGTTCCTCGAATACCTGAATCGGCAATTTATCTTCTCCCCTGGCAAGGCGCCAAGCGGCGGTCATCTGCGCCTTGCGAGGCGAGGAAGACAGGTACTTGCAGGTAGAACGGTGCGGAACCAATCCTGTTGGACCATAGCGCCAACGGCGAATGCGCGAACGCCTGCTGGGCGGGCACGGGACCACAGGGCTATGTGCGACGAGGCCGCCATCGGACAGCCTGGACCATGAACGCCGCCAGACTGTCTCTACAGCTGTCTCTACCTCTTCCTGTTCCCCCTAGGGAGCTTGGGATCAGCCAGACCCGCCGTCAGACCCGCCTGACCATACACACCGCCAGGCTGCCCTGCACAGCAGGGCACTGCACGCTGCGACACATGTCCCTTAATCTAAGCACAACGGAGCAGAAGGGAGCTGGGTTGTCATGAGGCACCAACGTACACATGTCAGGCGAAGGGCATGGCAGAAGACAAGGAAGGCAGCGGTAACAGTCCTGATGGCCCGTTCGCATGGGCCCCTTCCCCGCGGGCGGAAACAGCTTGCAGGAAGCACGAGTGTAGTCAGGCAACCTGCTGAGTGTCTGAGCAGGCCAGTCATCTTCACCATTGACACGGCACGAAACGAGACGACGGAGGAGAAGCAGCGGCTACGGTAGGTTCACGCGGCGTTGGCGCGCCAGCGACGTTGGCGAAGGCGTTCAAGGTTGAATTCCGCGACGCGGCAGCACCGATGGACACGGTAACGCCATTAGACCAGACGGAATTCAACCTTGAACGGTCGGGTTCGCGATCGATTCAAGGTTGAACGATCGACGCGGTGTCAAAAAACCCTTGTGCGCGCCAACGCCGCACGAACCTACCGTATTTGCACTCTCAGGAAGCGACAGGACCGAGCTCTCTCGCAAGGCGAACGGTGCGGCACCAGTCCCTATTGGACTGCGGCGCCGACGGCGCACGCCTTTTGTTGTCCGGGCCAGTTTCGGGCAGAAAGCCAGAGACGGATTATACACCTTAGGCGATGCTTAAGAAAACCTAAGTTTTCGGCCAGAGTCTCGATGATTCTTAACATTTCAATGTAAATCCTAAGATTTGAATGGAAACTTTGGGTTTTTATTCAAGTTCTGAGACTATGAATTTCTTAACCCATGATTTCTTAAGCATTTCGCAGGGTGTACTCACATTACTGCCGTTGCACGGAAACGTCAGGGCGTGGCAGGGCAGAGGCCAAAATGGTTGTACCCACCACGGGTTTCCCGAGCAGACGGAGGCAACATATGCTGGCTTGTGGATTGTTCGCTGCATACCCGAGTTGGAGGTTATCTGCACCCTTCGCACGATACAGTGCGAGGCGGCGGCAAAAACCGTCGGTGATCTGCGCACTAAAGGGGGAAGAGAGAGGTCAGAAAGAAAGAAACTGGCGGAGCACCGTTCATGACTTGGCAGGGTGGGGAGGGCACAAGGGCACACGCAGGGCTTCCCGCGTGCGGTGCGCTCGCGGGTGCACCAGTAGGACCGGCTGGGCTCACGTGGGCCATTGGCAAGAGGGCAACAACGAGGAAGGCGGCAGGCTGGCGGCTACTGATGAATTGCTGAACCTGGCGAGGTCGGACGCTCGGTGTATATATATATATATACATATATTCATATGTACATAGAGAAAAAACACAAGAAACATTTAGTACAGAGAGGGCCTCGCACGTGTGATGTGCTCTCGGGTGCACCATGAGCCCCGGCTGGGCTCACGTGGGCCCACGAGTAAAGAGAGCGATAAGGGGAACAGTGAGGCATTCTGCAGGCTGGCGGCTGCCGTTGAGCTGCTGCACCCGGCGGGGCATCTGGGCCTCTGGCCCGAGGAGGGAGGACTCGTGGGCCTCTGGCTCGAGGAGGGAGGAGGGGGGGAGGCATGATCAGAGGGAGAGCAGGGGGTCGGCGCCTCTGGCCGGGGAGGGGATGCGGCGCGGCAGCAGCAAGGCCAGATACAGTCGGGGCGCTGAAGAAGGAACAATTCTCGTTGGGGAGGGGCTCGGTGTTCCTTGATTGTTTCACAGCTTGCCCAAGGTTTGCCCCAGGTTTTCGATGGGAATCCGAAGTTTAACTCATGGATGCGTGGGGCCTCGTTCCTTATTCAGGGTTCCTTAGGTCAACGCCCCGACTGTAGCCTCCTCAACTAGACTCAGAACCTACAGTGGAAACCAATGCAAAGAAACACCCGGCTTGCCTCCAGGGTGCCCTGGGGTGTCTTGGGTTTCGATGATTTGCTGTGAAAAGCGTGACGCTCTCACACCAGAAATCAATGGACGTCCTGGGGTCTCAGGGTTGGGTTTCTTGTGGAAGGCTTCTTGTGGTCGGGCCTCCACTGTCTACCTGCCTGGCGGGACGTCACTAGCGCATCCTGTCAAAGATTCTTGCGCCGAACTCTGGGTTGACCGTCCAGGGGGCCACCTCTGTCAGGCGCTCTCGTCTATCGCAGCAGCTTTTGCAGCTCTGCGTTCCTTGGCAAGTCGACGATGTTGCGCCGTGCGCTCTCTGACAGCGTCTGTGAGGGGTACGGGACACGCAGATGCACCGATTACCGTTACTTCCCGGGCCTCCCGGGGGGCCTTTTGACCAGAATTTCAGGGCCACTCCAGCCGTGGCGACGGGGGCCTCCAAGGAGGCCCACGCAAGCGAAAACGAGGCAGGGGAAGCGGTATCGGCACCCTCGTGCTCCCGATTCTTTTTCACCCCCGACGCCGCCGCCGACGACGCCGGCGCCGGCCGGCGCCGGCCGGCGACGGCCGATCGACGGTTTCGGCGGAGAGGATTTTGCGCGTCTCTCGCCCTGGATTTATGTCGGGCGTGTCCCCCTACAGGGGGACTTTCGACGAAAAATCAATTATCCCAGTGCGACCCTACCTAGGAGTTGGAGCATCTAGGAAAGCAACACCTACATCTACACCGACAGCTACATTAACATCTACACCTGCACCTACTATGCTATGCTATGCTAAGCTGCGCTATGCTATGCTATGCTATGTTATGCTATGCTATGCTATGCTATGCTGCGCTATGCTATGCTATGCTATGCTATGCTGCGCTATGCTACGCTATGTCATGCTATGCTGCGCTATGCTATGCTAGGCTATGCTATGATATGCTATGCTATGCTAGGCTAGGCTATGATGCGCTATGCCATGCTATGCTATGCTATGCTATGCTGCGCTATGCTTCGCTATGCTATGCTATGCTATGCTTGGGTATGCTAGGCTGCGCTATGCTATGCTAGGCTATGCTATGCTAGGCTATTATGCGCTATGCTATGCTATGCTATGCTGCGCTATGCTATGCTATGCTATGCTACGCTATGCTACGCTATGCTATGCTATGCTGCGCTATGCTATGCTAGGCTATGCTATGATATGCGATGCTAACCTGCGCTATGCTATGCTATGCTATGCTATGATATGCTATGCTATGCTATGCTATGCTGCGCTATGCTATGCTATGCTATGCTATGCTATGCAGCAATAGGCTATGCTGCGCTATGCTATGCTATGCTATGCTATGCTGCGCTATGCTATGCTATGCTATGCTGCTCTATGTTATGCTAGGCTATGATATGATATGCTATGCTATGCTAGGCTAGGCTATGATGCGCTATGCCATGCTATGCTATGCTATGCTGCGCTATGCTACGCTATGCTATGCTATGCTGTGCTCTGCTATGCTAAAGGTCAGCGAAGCTACGCTGAAGGTAAGCTAAGCTACGACACACCTGAGCTAAGATGAAGCTAAGCTAAGGCAAGATGAAGGTAAGCCAAGCTAAGATGAGATAAGCAACGCTAAGCTAAGGGGACGTAACTGGGGGAACCGCGGGGCGGATGCCGGGGGAACCGCCCGGGCCGGTTCCCACTGCCCGGCCCCTTTAAGCAAAGACGGTAAGAATCCTTCTAGTGGGGGAAAATACCCCCAAAATGCCCCAAGAAGACTAAAAATGCTCCAAAATAGTCCCCAGACTATTTTTGGATTATTTTTTGATTATTTTTTGAAATTATTTTTTGATTATTTTTGGATTATTTTTTGATTATTTTTACGGTGCCGGTGGACAGGCCCGACTCAGCCGTGGGTGCGCCCGCGCTCGGCCCGCAGGCGCCCTCCAGCCGGCCGCCGTGCATCCCGGCCGCCGTGCTGGCGCAGGCGCGTTTTCGCCCGCCAGCCGTGGGGGGGAAGTCGTGGGCTTTGTCGGAGCAGGGGGAGGGGGAGGGGGAGGGGGAGGAGGAGGAGGAGGAGGAGGGGGGGGAGGAGGAACGAGGAGGAGGAAGAGGAGGAGGAGGAGGAGGGAGGAGGAGGAGGAGGAGGAGGAACGAGGAGGAGGAACGAGGAGAAGGAGGAGGAGGAGGAGGAGGAGGAGGAGGAGGAGGAGGAGGGGGAGGAGGAGGAGGAGGAGGAGGAGAGGAGGAGGAACGAGGAGGAGGAACGAGGAGAAGGAGGAGGAGGAGGAGGAGGAGGAGGAGGAGGAGGAGGAGGAGGAGGGGGAACGAGGAGGAGGAGGGGGAGGAGGAGGAACGAGGACGAGGACGAGGAGGAGGAGGAGGAGGAGGAGGAGGAGGAGGAGGAGGAGGAGGAGGACGAGGGGGAGGAGGAGGAGGGCGACGATGAGGAGGACGATGGTCTGTCACCTTTGGATTGTCACCTTTCTCCTCCCCTCCTCTGTCCGTCTGCCACCCGTACTCGCCATTCTCCCTAGCCGCTGGCAAACAGCCACGTTGGATACTTAGTGCGATCAATCCCCCAGGGCCGACCGGTCCCGGGGGAGGCGGCAGTCGACGACTCTTCACGCCACCAGGAGCCACTGTCTTGTTCTACCGCATCGGGCTTATGTTCTAAGAACACTGTCTCTGCTCTCAGAACTCTTCGGGTTCTGGGGACACTTCGTGGTAGGCCTGTAGGAATGCCGGTACGGTCAGTCCCTTCTCAATTCACGCTGCCAGGGACCAAGAACCGGGAGGAGGACATCACCACCCACCAAACCACCCCAACCCAACCCGAAGGCTCAGATTTACCCTCGATTTCTAGTGGGGGGGGGTCGGGAAACATCAAAAAACACGGGACGGGACGGCGGGGCGGAGACCGCGGCCCGTGTGGCGGCGGAGCCGGCCTGCGTGGTCGCCGTCGGCTGCGGGGTTGGGGTCGGTGCCGCCGGAGGATGCTGAGCCCGTGCGGAGTAAGTCTCGTGGCGCCAACATCGCGGAGCGGACCTCGTTCGGAAAATGATAGGAGGGGCCCGGAGTGTCCTGGAGAATTTCGTTCCGGATTTCAGCGTGAATTTCGTGCGGTTTTTTTTTAAGCCAGGAAGGAAGACCGAACGACAAATCTGCGCGAAACTCACTTTGTTTGTCCTTCGCCGTTTCAGGGTGCTGCATGGGCAGAAATCCATGCACAAATCCGCTGCAGCACGTCTGCAAGGTCGGTGCAGTGATAAGTCCGTACGTCACCGCCCACCAGGCCACCCGAACCCAACCCGAAGGCCCCAATTTGCCTTCCATGCCGGGTGAAAAACAGTTGAGAGAAACACACGTGGAATCCGTACCCCTCCCCGACCCGAAGTTTGGGTCTTCGGGTTAGGTTGCGGTGGTCTGGTAGGCAGTCAGCACGGAGTGCTTGGTCTCCGTCCAGGCCCGCTCCGTCCGCACTCAGCACCTCCTGATCGGATGCTAAGTCCGTGCGGCGTAATTTCGCACGGTGTGCTCGGTCTCCGTCCAGACTCGCTCCCTGCATGATGCTGGCGGTGCGCAGAGGGGGCGGCAGTGTGTTTCATCGAGACCTTCTCCGTCTGACAGTTCAGGAGGAGGCGGAGATTGGGGCTTCGAGCAGGGCATTTGTTGAGCGAAAATTCTAAAACATGCGTAGATGCTAGTCGGACTACGGAGCCTTTTACATATCGTTGGTAGATTCGACGGGGAAATCAGTGTTGGGGTAACTCAATTCTGTAGCCGATCACCTACTCGAAGTCAGGCGGAGGAGGGAGGAGGGGGGGATTCAAGTAGAGGGTTCAGCCGTCCAAGTGGCGCGAAGCAGCGCACCACCCTGCTGAACGCTGGCACCATCAGCAACACGGTCGCCCCCAACCGGTGAACACCAACGTAGACGGTACTTGTTGCGACGACCCCAAGCCGGTTGAAAACACAGCGGGGAGGAGGAGGGGGAGGAGGAGGGGGAGGGGGATGATGATGATGATGATGATGATGATGTTGTTCTTGTTGATGATGTTCTTGATGATGATGATGATGATGATGATGATGATGATGATGATGATGATGATGTTGATGCTGATGAGGATTATGGTGGTGGTGGTGATGATGACGATGATAGTGGTGGTGGTGGTGGTGACGGTGTCGATGATGATGATGATGATGAGGATGATGATGATGCCGCCGATGATTATGATGCTGCTGTTGAAGCTGATGATGACGAGGATGAGGATGAGGATGATGATGATGATGCTGAGGATTAAACTGATGCTGACGATGACGAGGATGATGCGCTGATGATGATGATGATGATGATGTTGCTGCTGATGATGATAATGATGATGATGATGATGATGATGATGATGATGATGATGATCATGCTGCTGCTGATGACGATGTCGTCGACGATGATGATGATGCTGACGATGGTGATGATGATGCTGGTGATGCTGATGATGGTGATGAAGGGTTAGGCGCAGAGGCATGGGGAGAGTGGGGTGATAAAAAAAGAAGGACGGCGGCAGACAGAGATGATGTTGATGCTGATGATGATGACGATGATGATGATGATGCTGATGATGACGATAGCGATGATGCTGATGCTGATGCTGATGCTGCTGCTGATGATGATGATGACGATGATGATGATTTTGCTGGTACTGCTGCTGCTGATGATGATGCGGATGCTGCTGATGATGATGATAATGGTGGTGGTGATGATGATGATGATGACGATGAGGACGATGATGATGCTGATGACGGTGATGCTGATGATGCTGATGATGCTTATGGTGCGGATGATGATGATGATGATGATGATGATGATGATGATGATGATGATGATGATGATGATGATGATGATGATGATGATGATGATGATGATGATGATGATGATGATGATGATGATGATGATGATGATGATGATGAGGAAGAGGAGGAGGAGGAGGAGGAGGAGGAGGAGGAGGAGGAGGAGGAGAAAGATGAGGAGAAGGAGGAGGAGAACGACTAAGAAATGATGATGATATGAGGAGGAGTAGTGGATTTCTCGAAGCACTGCAGGCCATGGTTCGGCGGGTTTGCGTGGGTGGGTCTTCAGACAGACGTGGACGGCGCGGAATTTCGCAAGAAGGAGCAGGAGGTGGACGAGCAGAAGGAGGAGGAGAAGGAGGAGGACGACGAGGAGGCGTGACCACACGAGCAAAGGGTGAGACGCATGGGGGGACCAGGGCGATAAAAAAGAGAAGGATGGCGACAGATGATGATGTTGATGATGATGATGCTGATGATGCTGATACTGATGATGATGGTGATGCTGCTGCTGCTGGTGATGATGATGCTGATGCTGATGATGCTGATGTTGATGATGATGATGGTGATGCTGACGACGATGATGATGGTGATGTTGATGATGATGACTACGTCGATGTCGATGTCGACGATGCTGCTGATGATGATGATGATGATGATGATGATGGTGGTGGGTATGAATATGATGATGATGATTACGCTGATTATACTTCTGATGATGACGATGATGCTGCTGATGATCATGATCAGCTGGTGATGATGATGCTGATGATGATGCTGCTCATGATGATGTTGATGATGCTAATCATGATTGTGCTTATGATGATGGCGCTGATGCTGATGCTGATGATGATAATGACGATTATCATGATAATGAGGATGAGGACGAGGATGAGGATGAGGATGATAATCAACATCATGCTGATGTTGATGATGATGCTGATGCTGATGCTGATGCTGGTGATGATGATTGTGAATGAGGGTAATTCGATGATTATGATGAGTCTGATGATCATGATGATGATGACGATGATGATGGAGGGTAAGAGTAAGATGATGATGCTGCTTATGATGATGATGATGATGATGATGGTGATGATGATGCTGATGATGATGATGACGATGATGATGCTGCTGCTGATGATGATGATGATGACGATGATGATCATGACGATGCTGATGATGATGATGATGATGATGATGATGATGATGATGATGATGATGGCGATGCTGCTGCTGCTGCTGATGATGATGATGATGATGATGATGATGATGATCATGATGCTGATGGTGATGACGACGATGCTGCTGATGATGAGTGATGGTGGTGGTGGTGCTGATGTTGATGATGCTGTTTATGCTGATGCTAGTGATGATGCTGCTTATCATGATGCTGATGCTGCTGCTGCTGATGCTGATGCTGAAACGGATGAATGCTGTTGCTGCTGCTGCTGCTGATGATGATGTGATGATGATGATGATGACGACGATGCTGCTGATGATGAGTGATGGTGGTGGTGGTGCTGATGTGCTGATGCTGTTTATGCTGATGCTAGTGATGATGCTGCTTATCATGATGCTGATGCTGGGCTGCTGATGCTGATGCTGAAACGGATGACTGCTGTTGCTGCTGCTGCTGCTGCTGATGATGATGATGATGATGATGATATTGATGATGATGATGATGATGATGTGATGATGATGATGATGATGATGATGATGATGATGATGATGATGATGATGATGATGATGATGATGATGATGATGATGATGATGATGATGGCGATGATGATGCTGATGCTGGTGCTGATGCTGAGCTGATGACGATGATGGTGATGGTGATGTGATGAGGAGGAGGAAGAGGACGCAAACTAGGCGGAGGAGGGGGGGAGGAGGAGGAGGGGAGGAGAGGAGGAGGAGGAGGAGGAGGGGAGGGGAGGACAATGAGGATCATGGCGATGGCTGGTGACGAGGATGAGGAGGGGAGAAGGAGGATTCGGAGGAGAGTAGGGGGGGAGGAGGAGGAGGAGGAGGAGGTGGAAGGAGGAGGAGGAGAGAGGAGGAGGAGGAGGGAGGAGGAGGAGGGAGGAGGAGGAGGGAGGAGGAGGAGGGGAGGAGAGGAGGAGGAGGAGGAGGAGAGGAGGAGGAGGTGGGAGAGGAGAGAAGGAGGAGGAGGAAGAGCAGGAGGAGGAGGAGGAGGGAGGAGGAGGAGAGGTAGGAGGAGGAGGAGGAGGAGGAGGAGGAGGAAAGAGGGAACAAGGGGATAAAGCGGAGGAGGTGGAGGAGGAGGAGGAGGGAGTGGACGATGGAGGAAAAGGAGGAGGAGGGGGAGGAGGAGAAACATTTTCAATATCCGCAACTACCACCAGCAAGACTGGACTGCTCGGGCAGAAGCTCTGCAAGGATCTCTTTCATAAGCTCACATCTTTTGTGGGCTTAGAGGGTCAGAGGAGGAGGATCAGGAGGAGGAGGAGGAGGAGCAGGAGGAGATTGAGGAGGAGGAGGAGGAGCAGGAGGAGGTTGAGGAGCAGGAGGAGGAAAACGGAGAGGATGAGGAGGAGGAGGATGAGGAGGAGGAGGAGGAGGAGGAGGAGGACGTTGATGAGGAATAGCAGGAGAGGGGGGCCGGAAGAAGTGAGGGAAAATGTGGCGGAAAAGGTGGCCTTACGCCCGCCCCCCTTCCGCCGCCCGCGCGATCACTGGACGCCCCCAGCGCAACGGGGAGCAGATGGCTGTGGATGCGGACGAGCGCGAGGCTCCCTCTCTGCCCTTGCTCGCCACCTGTTCTCTCCTGTCCGGCGGCAACGATAGAGGGAGGACAGGCACAGGGGGATGCATCGATCTCCAGTCGCCCATTGGTCGCCGATAGGCTTCGAGGCGCCAGGTTTTTGGAGCTTTTTGGCGGTTCTCGGCGGCTTTCCAGCCTCGGGGTGCCTTTCAGCGGCTGCGCCTCGCCGAGAGCGTTTCTGGGGTGCCCGGACCGGCCCGAACGACTGCTGGAGAGCCGAGGTATGGCCCGAAAGCCACCAGGGACGGAGATAGGCTCAGGGGGGGATGCATCGACCCCCAATCGCCCATTCATCGTCGACGATGGCCTGATGGCCCCACCCCCGCCTAGGAACGTGCGCATTCGCTATCGGGAGCCGATCGCAGATCTATCGGTGATGTGTCGCCGATTCCAGGTCGATGTGTCCCCTGCTATACCAGTCCACCCCTATCGTTGTCCTTGTCGTTTTCGTCGCCCTCGTCCTCGCCCTCGCCCTCGTCCTCGTCGTCGTCGTCGTCGTCTTCGTCGTCGTCTTTCTCGTCACCGTGCTTATCGTCGTTACCCTTATCCTTATCGTTATCGTTATCGTCGTCGTCGTCGTCGTCGTCGTCGTCGTCACCGCCGTCGTCCTCGTGGCGGACGTGCGGGCGCGCGCACAAGCGCGCGCGTGTGTGGGCGGGCAGGCAGGCAGGCGGGCGAGCGGGCGGACGTGTGGGCGCGCTGGCGGGCGTGCGCGCGGGCGGGTGTGCAGTCAGGCCGGCGGGCGGGCGAGTGGGCGCATGAGCGGGCGGCGGGGCGGGCGCGTTGGCGGGCGGCTGGACTGGCAACGGGCCGACATACCAACCAACCAACCAACCGAGCACCCCGCCAACCAGCTGGTCAACCAACCAAACGACCAGCGAACCAAGCAACCAATCAACCTGCCAACCAACCAACCAATTTACCAATCAAACAAACGAACGGCTGGCCAGCCAACCAACCAGCCAACCGGCCAACCCACCCACCAGCCAGCCGGCATTTTCTGAGGATGTCTCAGGCGGCAGGGCTGGGAGCGAATTTTCCTGACCCGAAATAACCGTTCTAACCCTTAAATGAAATGACGGCCAACCCTACCAGAGTTCTCGTCGCCTTGCGGGGGCTGTCGTATGCGCAACTGTCCCCACTCTCCTGACCCAAATGAGACCTCGCCTTCCTCGGGACTGCAAGGGTGGCAAAACCCGGCTCCACAACTGTCCTGGGGCTCGTGCCGGCGATATTGCAAGGCGGATCCAGCCGCGGCACGGGGCTCCAAGGAGGCCAAGAGAGGCTTGATATCAACTCAAAAAATCGATCTTCGTCTTGCGATCAGCGGAAATAGCTTCTGGCGCAGCCGAAGGGCCGCGTGGGGCGGCGCGCTCCCAGCCGTGCGAGCTTGCTCGAATCCGCTGGCACAAGAGGTCTCGACCCCTTCCCTGCTGGCACGAGGGTTAAGAACAACACTGGCTATTTTGGGTACCTCCATGGGGCACGTGGCCTTCGGCCAAGGGTCTAATGTCCTTGACCTGCGCTCTTGTGGCCATGGTCGACTTTCGGAGGAGGAGGAGGAGGAGGAGGAGGCAGTTCAAACCCAAGACTCATCGACGATCATAGAATAAACCCTCCCTCCAAGCTCCCTCTTCGATGGCCCCAACAATAATTCATTTCCACTGTTGGAAGATAACTATTCGAATATCCTGAAGCGTGCCAAAGCACCATTCTCGGGACTTCATCGCCACGAATCAACCCTGTTGCAGCGTCTTGACGATCCTGAATCGTGCCAGAAGACTAGAACGCCGTTCCTGGAATTTCAACACCACGAATCAACGTAATTGTCGCGCCCTGGCATTCCTGAATCGGTCCAACCACCATTTCTGGTACGTTCATCCATGGGAGTCCGCGAAACATTTGCAAAAGTTTAAGACGAGCGTGCGCGGTGCTAAGGCGAGAGCAACATCTTGAAATCAACCGCCCTCGACCCGTGTAACTCTTGTATGTTTGAAAACCGAATATGAGCGGCACTCAGGCGACATCCATATATCGGAAAGAGTGTGTTCTACCGCTGCTGGTGGAAAACCGGGTGGGGTCACTACCGGTTCGAACCCCTCCCCCCCCCCCCCTCCGGAAAACCGGGGGGGTCACTACCGGTTCAACACCTTTTTTTTTTTTTTATTTTTTTTTTTTCTTGATTTTTTTTTTTTTTTTTTTCTTCCCCCTTCCCCCTTTATTTTTCCCCCCCAAGCTCATCATGGAAAGGGTGAAAAGGTGGGGGGGGTCACTACCAGTTCGAACCCCCCCCCCCCCCTCGAAAACCGAGTGGGGGTGCGGACAGAGGTGGGGACGGTGTTGGTGGGACAGTGGTGAGGGGACAGCGGGACAGTGGTGGGGACAGTGGGACAGTGGGACAGTAGAGGGCCAGTAGTGGTGGGGACAGTGGTGGGGACAATGGTGGGAACAGGGGGGACAGTGGACAGTGGTGGGGACGGTGGTGGTGGCGACAGTGGTGTGGGCACAGTGGGAATGAGGTGGAACCAGTGGGACAGTGGAGGGTACAATGGTGGTGGGGACAGTGGTGAAGGCGGTGGCGAGGACGGCGGTGGGACAATGGGACAGAGGTGCAGTGGGGACAGTGGTGGGGACAGTGGGGACAGTGGTGGGAACAGTGGGACAGCTCAGTGGGACAGCGGCGGAGTCAGTGGGACAGTGGGGACAGTGGGGATAGTCGGGCAGTGGTTGGGGCCGTGGAGACAGTGGGGAGAGTGGAACCGTGGTGGGAACAGTGGTGGGGACAGTGGGGACAGTGCGACAGTGGTGGGGGCACTGGTGGGGACACAGTGGGGACAGCGGTGGTGAGGACAGTGGTGCTGGGAACAACAGTGGAGGATGTGATGCGGACGGTGGTAGGGACCGGGAGTCGTTTGCTGGCGGTGAGTGGGGGGGTGGGGAGGGGTTCGAACCGGTAGTGATCCCCCTCCGGTTTTCGAGGGGGGGGGGGGTTCGAACCGGTAGTGACCCCCCCGGTTTTCCGGATCCGGAGGGGGGTGGGAGGGGTTCGAACCGACGGTAGTGATTTTTGCCCGGTTTTCGAGGGGGAGGGGGGGGGGGAGGGGTTAGGGGAGAGGGGGGGGTTTTGCCGGGGTGGGGGGGGGGGGGGAGGGGTTCCAGCAGGGGGGGGTTTTTCGCAGGGGGGGGGAGGGGGGGGGGACCCCCGGGTTCCGGAGGAAAAGGTTGGCAATTTTCCACAGTAAAGCGGCGGTGGATCACGCTCTCTCATATATCGGAAGCGACCCGCGTTCCATCCTCAAAACTTATGTTGCAAATGTTTAAAGCGAATGTGCGCGGCGCTACGGCGAGAGCCAGAATTTGAAAAGGAACCGCCCTAAATGCGTGAAGCCCTTGGCACATTTTTACAACGAGTGTGCGCGGAGCTGAGGCGAGAGCCACAGTTTGAAAACTACCCGCCACTCAACCAGTGGAGCTGTTGTGGTTTTAAGACGAGTGTGCGCGGCGCTAAGGCGAGAGCAACTTTTTGGAAGCGACCCGCTCTCCATATGTGCAACTGTTCCCATGTTTTGAGCTGCGGGATCATACGTGGTAAGGAAGTCCTAGGCGACGCGCCTGGCCCGCCCTTCCGATTGGCCTCGGGGTGCGAGGGAGGAGCTATTGATTCGCTTCGCTCATTCCGCTGGCCCACACTGTTGGACGGCTCTCGGGAGACTGCCATTGGCGCCTTCGGTGGAGCTCCTATGGGGGGAGTGCCGAGATGGCCCGAGGCCGCCATGCGAACCCCGCCACTGGGGGCCTTTGGAGGAGCTCCCTATGGGGCCACGATCCTCGTGAGGGGTGTGCCGAAATGGCCTGTGTGTTCGTTGTCAACGTGATGCTGTTGAGCGGCGGTTCTTCTCTGGCGCCGTGCGTGGTGAGCGGCGTTCGAGCTGAAGCAGTTGCTGTTGAGCTGCCACTGGGGGGGGTTTGTCGCGGGTCTTTGCGGTGCATGAGGCATGTAGGTGTTTAGCTTGGGCCAGTGTGGGGAATGTCCTCCGTGGATGTTCGGTTTGGGGGCAGTCTGGAGATTTGAGTCTTTCGGTGCAAGCTGTGTATCCAGCTTCTAGGTGTGAGGCCTCACGGGGGCCCCTTGGCGGTGTTTTTGAAACCTCCTGAGGCCTCACGGCTGTGCCGTTGGGGGCCTCTTGGGCCGTCTTCGAGGCCTCTTGGGCAGTCCTAGGGATTTTGGGCTGTTTTCGGGCTGTTTAGGGGCCCTTTTGAGAACCTTGGGCCGTCTTGGAGCGGTCTTGGGGGCCTCTTGGGCCGCGATGGAGCGTCGGGAAGCTGAAAAGGCGAAAACGCGAAAATCTTCAACAACCATTGGAACATCTCTTGGGACTCTTGCGGGAGGCCTCTTGGAGGCTTCATGGGGCGTCTTGGAGGCCTCGTGGGCCGTTTGGAGGCTATCTTGGGCGTCCAGGAGCGATCTTGTGGCGTCACGGGGCTCTCTTGGACCATCTCGATGACTTGTTGGGGGTCTCTAGGCTCTTTTTGGGGCTCTCTGGGAGGCCCCGAGGGCGGCGCCCAGGAGCAAAACCATCTCTGGCGGGACCTTGTCAGGACCCTGCCCCGGATTTTTCGCCTGGGGACTCCAGGGGCCGCCCCGCGCGCGAACTACATGTGTGTATATATACATATATATAGATATGAGGACACATATACGTGCATATATATATATATATATATAGATGTCTGTCGGTCTGTCTGTTTACATGCATGCAGGCATGCATGTATGACTGTACATATGCATGCATGCATGTGTATGTGTATGGGCATGCATGTTTATGACTGAATATGATTGTATTTGCATGTGTATGTATGTACTTGTATGTATATGGATGCATAGGCATGCATCTGTACGTACATGTGTGTATACGCATGCATATGCATGCGTATGTATGTGTATGCATGTGTATGTATTCATATGC